TGGGGTAAATTGCAGGCACACGTTTCCGTTTCCACCAGACGGTCCATGCCTTCCACGTTAAATTTAATGTTATGGACCTCAAGATGCCGTGTGTTTATATTCCTTTAATATTCTTTTTCTATTTTGTTTTTGTTTCTTTTAGGATTCGTTTAATAGACAAATGTGAAAATGAATTTCAATTTCATGTTAGTTGGAAAATAAAAAAATCATAAAACCTATATGAATTCGTTTTTCATGAAAACAAAGAAAGTGCAATTTAAAGTGGTTGTACCTTGGAATTTGATTTCTATTTTCACGTTGCAATCAAATGGTCAAAGTGAATTCGTTTTCCTCCGACGTGACATTTCCCATGGAAAAGTTTGCGCCTTGTAGTTTTTTTGCTTTTACATTTTGAAGATATTTTCTCATGCGTTGAGTTGCTTTTCGATTCAAAAGATCGCAAGATTACTTTATTAATTGTTCAACGAAAAAAGAAATTGGTCTGTGTAAAAACAAACAAAATCAATACAAAAATTAAATTGTTTCGATCATTTGATTTCTAGTGTTGCAATCCACCGATCGTGCTAAATGAACATAAAATTTGACATAATGTCACGTGACATTTCATTATTGGATTATTTTAAACACGATCAACTTTTCCACAAAATCACCTCCCACCAAACATATTTTGTCATTGTATTTGGCCAAATTCTTCTGACAAAGTAGCATTATTCTTATTCTTTTATTTCGTGTCAAATCAATATGTTACAATGTCATAAAAGAATCTATTATGCTATATAGAAATTATTACATAATCATTGAAAATTTTGACATCAGACCTTCCTTAATCTTCTCTCTCCACCAATAATTAAAAAAGAAAAAATTCGAGAAAACAGTATTATTATTATTTTTTTTTTTTTTGGAAAATACTATAAAATAAATAATGTTTAGTTATATATTGACTTGTACAAATTCTAATATCACCAATTTTTTATTTTTTTTTTATTTTTTGGGATGGACAAATAATTCAGGCTAAGATTACCATTACTGGCGGATTTCATGGAGATTAGAATTTTCTTCTTTATTATTTATCAAGATTTTAGTTAGTGATATCCAAGAACGTGCAAACCTTTGATATTTGACTTCTAAGTTTAAAATCCAGAATGAAGTCAAATTTCAATTTTAATCATACGTTTTATTGAACAAATAATTTTTTATTAACTTTTTAACCATATATCCAAACTATGTTCAATGACTTAGCATTGAGTGAAATATACACTTGGTAGAGTGGTACTTCACATCCCTCGTAGACACTTTCTACAATCTTCATAATTAAACCTCTATTTGGTGGTAGTTTTTTACTTTTTTTTGAAAAACATTTTTGCATAATAAATTTTTGAAGAATGTGTAATTAAAAAATCTGAAATTTTTTTAGATTTACGTGTAAAATATTTTATTATATTGTTGACAATGAGTATGTAAAAAAAAAAGTTTTGGAAAAATGGTAATTGCGTGCTTATTATACATTCTTATTATTAATCTTCAATTAATTAATAGATTTGTCTTTAATAATGATTTCTATCCAAGTATTTTATTAGTGTGTTTTGAGATGAGGGGCAAATATCTTATCGAACTTTTATTTTTGCAGTTTATTTTTTACTTATTCAAAAATATAAGGAACAACTAATTCTATGCTTTTGACGAGTATGTTTTTACTCACGGGTTTTATACAAATTTAACTCAATTGCTGGCCAAATTTTATGATTATAGTACGTTTTTTTATGTGTTTGTTTGTGTTATTTTAAAGGCATGGCGAGGTGGTGTAAAAAGGGTGTTGAAATGTACAAACAAGCCAAAGTCAAGAAAAAAAGCAGCAAAATGGCACCTAGGCGCCATACTCGAAGCCCAAGCGCCTGGAAAAGAGAAAAAAAAATACAATTAGCGCCCGCTCTACACAGAAAAGCATTGCGGCGCCTAGGCACTATTGCCTCCTAGTGCTTAGGTGTGGCGCCGCAAATTTTAGAGTGATGCAGTTTTGGACCACAAAAAGCTCAGAAAAACTTAAAATTTGGGGAGAACGTATAAGGAAGTATAAATAGAAGAAATAAGAAAATTTTAAGGGTTCCGAACTTTGAAAAAACAAAGATACAATTAGAGATTGAAGAGCAAAATTCAAATGAGGAAAATATGAAGGAATTCAAGCTTTGAAATATTGATTGGAAGATGAAGAAGATCTTGGTGCAATCTTTATTTCTTTTTCTACATCTATAGTCAAAATTCGGTAATGTATTCAATAACAACTTCTTGTTTTCTTCTTCATTTATTATGAATATCTAAACTTTATATTAGGGCGAACGATATAATCTACTTGAAACCCTTTATGTCTTTTATTCAAGATTTTTGGCATTTTATCATTCATGTGTTGATTTTACCATGGATTTAATGCATTAAATTACTTGATCACTAATTTGATAATTTTGTGAATTTTTTACGAATCGAGAGCCGAGTTTGAGATTTAGACTATATAGTAAAATTTGGTATATTAGTGTAACGTGTAGATATACCTATACTAAATATTGTGATCATCATATGAATTTTTAGAGCTAATATTTCGTTTAACTATGGTAGATTCACGTAGAAATATATGATTGAATTAGTTAAATAGGCTCAATGAAAATTCGAAAGGGGTAAATTGAATACAATAGAAGAATTTGATCGAACACTACATTGGGCTCTTACATTTTGAATTAAGACTTAAAGGTGATCAATATGTAAAATTGTTCGTCCCTAATATCCATCCATTATTTGAATTCACAACAACTATAATTCTTTGTTTGCTTTAATAAAATAGAAGTTAGAAAAATCTAATTAAGTTCTAAAGTATAGTTCTCGTGAAAACAATAATCCAGACTCAAAGGTTCAAATAAGTCTTCTGCACCTTTGTAACAGATTTTTTGACGAAACTATCATTTGAAACAAGATGTAAGGTTGAGGAGGTTTTCAAGCAAAACTCAATCTCACTTTAAGACAACGGCCGGTAGACATCATTGATTGTGGCATCTCTGTAAGAATGAGATAGACAAGTTACGAATATAAATGCAAAAATGGGCAAATATTGAAATCTTTATTGTACTTAAAGTGTGAATATCATCACCCTAAAATGAATGTGAAATGTGAATAAGGACCAACATGCTATAGATATACGAGTTGGGAACCAAATTACCGAACAAATTATTTGGAGATGCTTGCCACAACAATAAATTGGGGACCTCTACTGCAATTTACCTTATAGAAAATATGACTTGTCTCTCACGTTCCAGAGAATTTGACTAGTTTTATATTGTTTATGAAACAAGAATGGACCTCGACAGGTCCATTAATTAAAAGTTTATGCATCACGTTTTGCAATTAGCTTATTGTTTAAGAACACGATCATGGGATTGATGAATTCAATAATGTTGTCAATTTATGGGTTTTTTTCCTATTATTTACTCTACATTTGTAATAAAAAAGAATTAAAAAGATTGCGATCTTGTTTTCCTCTTAAAAAAAAAACATATTTTATCAAATCACGTTCTTAAATATTTTATTATTATGGTTAATTGAATACAAAGTATGAAGGACAAGAAAGAGATTTTGCATCAACTCGATCCGTAAAATAATAAGTTGATCAAGTCATCGAATTGATTACATTTGTCGACTAAAGAGTTGAATTGACTCTAACTAAAACCAACCCTTAATAAAAGACAATGCTTTAACTTGAAGAAACTATTTAAAATTGACATCATACATACATTTTTAGGTAAGAAAAGGAATAGTGCCATGGTGGGTTACAAAAACAGATTTTACATTATTATAAAAAAATATTAACCAGAGAAGCTTCAATTCTAGAAAACATTGACTTTATGGAAGTTTCCAAAATTCCCAATAAATTTTAATTTTTTAAGTTTTTCATCATGTAAATAAATCACTTTCACAAAATGCTTCACTTGTTCACTCTACAGAAGTCAAAAGTGGGTACCCTCGTAAAGAAACACGATTTCAAATGGAAGTAGGTGAAAAAAAAAAAATCTTGGCTGCCGCCTGCCTGCCACTTCTAGATCAACATGTACACGTTCTCGATACAATAATGGATTATTTATTTAATGATCTCGTCTAATTATTTAGTCTCTGTTCGGAAAATTTATTTTTAACCATATATTTTATAGAGTTTATAAATTTTATCGATAAAATTTAATTTTTATCCCAATCAAACACGAGCTTGGTCTATTATAGAAAAGATCCAATTATTCGTTTTAATGTTATCAGGAATATACTACTTCGTGTATGTGCGAAATCAACTTGATATATGTATAATTTTTCTTAAATAGATGACGTGAGATCTGAACTCATTATTCATTACTATACTGAAATTTCTCATCTAAAATTTAAATACCACAAGTAGGAATTTGAAAGTTGTGTGCTAAATTTGAAAGATTACGTATGATTGTCAATTTTTGCAACTTCAATTGTTACTTATCTTTGTATCTAGATTGTGTCACGTAATATTTAATAATTGTTTCTTGATGTACACGAGATGGAAAAATCTTGGAGTTTATTGGAAAAGCAATGTACTAGGATTGACACGAAAACGATGTAATCTTATTTGTCAAGACAAAGAAAGGGACACCCAATTTTTTTTCGCCTTTTATAGTTGAAGTTTTGACTATTTGCTTGAAAGAGATGAGTTGAGATCTGTTGTCCCATTTTTGCTTCGGAAATTAAGACAACTCAAAATATACATACATGTTTTTACAATTTAAGTATTACAACACGAAATGAAAACAAGAACCTAAACTGCATCTGCAATGTACACAAAATAACTCATTTCTATAGCCTGTAAGATCCGTTCGCCTACGAAATCCCACCACAGCAAGCGAAAAATAATAATTCTATCCATTCACGCACGAACCTGAGAAGCTTCATTCACGACAGCATTAGACGACATCAGAAGATCGTCAAGAAAGACGATGAAAAACCATTTACATCCCGACCCATTTTACCCACTTGAATACTTTGCCGACTCTGTATGGCAATTCGTAGTCTTTGCATACAGCAGGCTCTCTTCTAGCTGCCTCAGGTTCAGACCAGACATATACACCACGTTCCTGTCGACTGCCTGGAACTGTGTTGTCGAGTATAACAGCTACTAAGAATGCAATCACCATGTTAAAGGACAACAATGTATTCAGCACATAATTTAGCTGTCACAAGAGACACAAAACTATTGTTTAGGAAAATACTCAAGGATTGCGTTGGTTATTAGTGAATGAGCAAGAAAATATTTACCCCTCCGAATTTGGTTCGTATAGGACCATGCGAAGCCACAATATATGGCTGGAAGTAACTCGGAACGGACAAGTTTGTGTTTGGAGAAATGCCATACTGCTGAAAATAAGCTGGTATTGAAAGGGAAAAGAATAAAGACAAGCCAATGATTATAATATTCCTTGAACTCCCTGCCTCACTATATCGTAAATTTGACAACCCCAATGCTGTAAGCATTGCCCACGTAAAGCACAAGAGAGCTGCTACCATGACTTCAGGTATTGATGCAATAAAACCCCCGACTTTACCTGGTACACAAAACAGAAGATTAAGCACCCATGAAAATTGAAAACTCAAAAAGGCTCCTCGAGTGCATTAACTATCAAGTAAGTCCTTCTATTTGCAGCAAAACTAAAGGCAGAACTTTTTTTTTCGTTAAGGGCAAGATCCAAACATTCAATATATAATATGTCGTTGCTAATATAATCGAGCTAAATTGCAAAACACATACCTATAAAGGATAGGATAATTAAAATGCACGCGCCCAACTCAACTGCTCTGCGACTTCCCATTTTAGTAACAGCAATCGTATGTACATTCTCGGTCAAAGTTGAGGAGCCAGTTCCAGTACCCCACAGACCAGCCAAGAGGCTAGAAAGACCTTCAAGACCGATTCCTCGACTTACAACGCCTGGTGTTGGAGGTCTAGATGCAACCAATAATGATGACGCGTGATACGAACCAACCTAGAAATTAACAAAATTGAAATAAATAGCATATCCAACATAGATACAAGATTATAGGAAAAATAATGCCACAAATATAGCTCAAGATTTTTGTATATAATTTTCTTTGGCAGGCCATGACAAATTTTTCCAGTCCTATTGCTCGGTGGTTGGAGTTCACCCTAGCACAGTTTATATCTTCTACGTAAGATGGAATGTTTCATTCAAAGAAGTTTAGACAAATAAATCATTCAACTGGAACAAGCATATGCTTAATCCTATAATTTTAGGATGTTAGTAATTACTGTAAATGTCAAGTCCCCATTTCACCAACGTTATTGTAGATAACTTTAATGAAAAGAAAATAAACTTTCATGCAATAGTCTTTTGAAGGTCTAAAAGATCCAACTCCGCCTGTTCCATAGAGTGAATTACGCACTAAAACGTCATTCCATAATTTCAAATAACATGACCTATACATATAAAACTGCTCCAAAGCGCATGTTTGCAAGGCAACAACAGAAATGCTTAAGCAACTGTTGTAAATTTTGGCGTTTCCATGGTTCAAAATATCATCTAACATCCCAAAAACATAACTGATAGGGATTGCAATGGGGATGGAAGACTCGCTAAAAAACACACACTTATTTGAGGCATAGAGATAACAAGTGGTTTTTAAATTATTAGGGGGGTGTTTGTTTTTGAGAATCAATTCTCATTTTCAACCACACATTCTTCAATAAAATAGTATTTTCCATCACATCAATAATTTTTCCTTCTTTTTCAACCACACATTCTTCATCAATCTACTATTTCAAAATGCATTCTTCCAAAATAATGTGGCTCAAACACACCCAGAATTTTAAATACACTCAACTTCTGTCTGGTCCATTTTGTATCTTAATGCGTACGTGACACTTTTACAGTCTAATAATATCTTCGCGTTTTTCACATTTCAACGAGAGTCGTTCTTTTAATTTCTTGTGACGTGTTGTTTTGATTCATAATACACGAGAATTAAAAAATTCAAAACTTGACTATTGAACATGAACGTGACCCTATAGTCCGTGCAATTCAAAGTTCCGATTCAAACATTCTATATGTTAAGATCTTGTCTGGGATTGATTTTCAACAGGAGAGAATTGATTTTTCAGCCTTTTTTTGACCGTTTCTCACACACATGCAGCCCATTTCTGTGAAATTCAGCCCGTTGTGTGGTGCAACGGTCAAAAACTGACTTTTAATCCAAATTTTAAGTGGTACCAGACAAGGCCTTAGTTGTAAGTCACAGCTTCTCCAGCATTAGATAGGATATTATAACAAAAATAACATAGACAAACACAACTATATCAAATATAATGAGAAAAGTAACATGTAGTGAGCAACAAGTGTGTAGATGCTTCTGGAAGTATATCCTCCCTCATAGAAACAAAGATTCTTCAAGCACACCTCTTAAAACAGAAAAAAATTGTAGGCCATTACTTTTCTTTTTTAGATAACTAGATTTGGAAAAGGTTTGAAGTCTTTATTTCAATAGGACAGAAATGTGATGTCAAATTAAAAGAGTTTTAATTTTCTAACATCTGGCATGACCCGCAATGTTGTAGGAAATCAATCAACAACTGCCACCATTTTAACTTCTAATGTTTGATACCACACAACAAATTATTTGAGCGAAAAAGAAAATATAAAAAATTAAAAAACAAGTGAAAGAACAGAAAGTCGAATAAAACTGAATCCAAGAAAGCCAACTGTTATCCAACTTTACATTTAACATTATGAAAGGAAAATGCATACCAAAGATACTTGGACTTTTTCATCACAACTTCTAAATATATTGGCCCATAAAAGAAGTAAGTGATTATTAAAAAAATATCTGAAAAAACTTTATATAACATTTCAACTTTGTTAAATTTATCGAGGCGTTATCAGATATGTGAAGTGAATACTGTATGAGCATAAGCATTCCTTTTTTCCCCTTGGAGATTACTTCACATATTTTGTGTCATCCAGCAGTGTGTCACCATAATCGTTTCATAAGAAGCACCGTTTCTTTATGCATGGAATGTGGATTGATATCTATCCTTGAAGCATTTTCACATGACATTTACATGTGCGGAGTATGGTAAACCGGTCCCTACTTTAATGGCTAACTTCCACTATTTCTTACTCAATCTAAAGGACACATTAACTTCTCTATTATAGTTTTTCAAGTTTATAAGTACCAAGTCACTAGGATCAATACAAGCAAAAACCACAAAACTCACGTATCATATTATTGATGAAGACTTCTAGTCAATATTCTTGGAAGACTTACCACAAACTAAACATGCATTTTAGGCAAAATAATAAGAAATAGATTTATAACTTATCTGATTGATTTTCTTCCATAATTATTAATTCTAACTCATGCAATTTTCCATACTATTAGCTTGGAAGCTTTCCTCATGCAATAGGGATTTTGTATGCTCTGATGTTGAATAACTTGATCTTAAAGCTTAAGCCGTTAGAAAGGGCCTCATCAATAATCCTTTCCACGGAGGTGAATCTTTGCCTATTAGGCAAGTGGAGTCCAGATGAGTTAAGCTAAACAGGTGAGTCCAGTTCTGCAGTTCACTTGGTGTGCTGGGTGACTGGAATCCTTTGAGGTCAGCTGAAGAGGCTGACGATAGGCAGAAAGTTCAGGATTTTCCAAAATGTAGACAATAATTCATTTTCCTCTTCCCAAATTTGTTCTTTTCTCTCTTCTTTCTCTCCCTACTACTATCTATTATGTCACTCTCCACATTGCATCAATTGTTATACTGAAGTATGGTGTTGTTGAATAATACCGATAAGCTTAATGTGGCTCCACTAACGAATGAGGCTAAGTAGTGAAGAGAAACAGATAGTCAAATAGAAGCATAAATTAAGTAACTGAAAAGATATCAATAACAATCTAAACTAACAAGAGAAAAACGAGGACTTACTGAATCTACTGATGAAATTATAGACACCACACACATCACAAGGGCCATCTTCCAGTGAAAGACAGGCATACCCCATTGTAGAGGGTAAGGAAATCTAAACCATGGAGATGATCTCAATGCATCAGAAGTATCAACTCGACAGTATTTCATCCTCGAAACATGCTTTCTGCAGTGGTCAGATATTATATTTGAGGCAGGCACATTCACATCACAACCTTTATAGTTATATACTCCAGCTTCAGTCAGAAGGAAGGCCATACCCCATGTAATGGCAAGACCTAGTGGGACCTGTGTTTATACAAGTAAACTGAAAATCTACACTCAAAATTCATAATAAGAAGCAGAATGCAGGAGGAAAATATGAACTTACTGCATAAATTAGAAATACACGATGATCCAATACTGATACTTTGCGAAGGTACTGCAATAATTTGTCAGGTGACACAAAAGACTCAGACAATATATTTTTACAAACAAGTACAGTAATCCAAGTAACAAAAACATTTCAGTGCCCCCATTTCTAGGAATCACAAAGCGAACAAGTTGATAGAAGTGATTAGATATGGAGAGGAAAACTTACAAGGGAAAAAATAACAACCAATAATATCTGCATTGCACCAAGTTCAATGCAGGCACCAACTCGTGGGAAACCATAACTGTAGAAAGAAAGTCCAACAGCAGCAATAGTAGGGGACACAACCACTGGATTAATTACCCTAAGAGAAAAAGGCAACCGAACTGGAGATGAATTATTTGGATTTCAGGGGAAAAATCAGGAGGAGCCAGATATCCACAGTTTTGGGGCAAATAATAACATGCTTTGATATGATTTTACATTACATTAGCATATACCGCATGGAGGGCCTTTTTTTTAATATAATAAATCCAAGAGCCTGAACATATCAAGCATTCAGAACTCATAGGGCATTATCTAATCACAATTTCATCTTATATAATTGAGTCAGTCAATACCCTGTATTTGACAATTCCTTCATGTTAACTAGTATCTTCATGACTGGGGAAGGGATTAGAAGTAATGTAAAATTATACACAAATGATTATATGAATTAAATAAGTGGCTGTATAGGTACAGAATTATGCTTCCGGATTAAAAAAGAGCAATCAAGTACACATAAATTAATTATTCCACCTCATAACCTACAGCACCTCCTGTTCAGAAAATAAAAACGACTGCAGCACTTCCCAGAAAATTATGAATGACATTAAACCCACTAATGGTTATAATACATGTGGCCCAGTTCCACATATAATCAAAATTATTTATGTAACGATCCAATATCCATGTCCAAGCCGTTATATTATACATATTGTCCGCTTTCGATGGACTCTGTCACTTACCTCTCATGGAATTCTATTGTGTCCGCAGGATTCGAACCCTTGACATAATTTTTAAGAATGACTTAAGTTGAATCCTGGTACCAATTGAACCACCAGGACTCAACTTAAGTCTCTTTAAGGGGAGGCTGTGTTCAAATTCTGGGGACGCGATAAAAATTCGTGAGAGATAAAATGGGCTCAGACTCTCCCCGGGCGGCAATATGTAAGTTAATGGCTTGGGCATGAGGGTAGGTCCTTACAAAAGAACACATATTTTTTTTAACGACCGCTCCTCGTGTCTTGCTGTTTTCTTACGTACTTTCCGTTTTGAGAAGGAATCTTCCTTCTTACCCTTCACGGCTTTCTGTCTCGCTCCTTAGATACCAGAATTCAACTTAAATCTCTCTTAAGATAAGGTCACACGTTCAAATCTTGGGGAGCACGATAAAAAGCCGTGAGTGAGTAAGAGAGAGGATTCCCTCCCAAAGCGAACAGTACATAAGAGAACGGTCAAGCACGAGGCCTAAGTCGTTACAATTTTCCTCTCATGTCACTTATTCTTGGAAAGTTCAATCATGAATGTTGTCTATTATATTGTGATGTGTATGACATGTATTGTACATCAATAAAAATCTCTATTGGAGGGAATTTATTTTACGTACAGTTACATCTAGGCCCTGTTTGAGCCACCTTTTTGTAGAATGAGAATGAAAAATATAACCGTTATTGGAGCCCACACAAAAGATATAAAATTTGAATTTAAATGTTGATGTGATGGATAACGGTCATATTTTTCATTTTAATGAGATAATAATGTAGATCAAACGGGGGCTATATATCAGTTTATGGAAACTATACATGATTATGGGTTTGTTGCTTTCTGTCTCGCTCCTTAGATACTTTTATTCAACTTAAGTCTCTCTTAAGATAAGGTCACACGTTCAAATCTTGGGGAGCACGATAAAAAGCCGTGAGTGAGTAAGAGGGAGGATTCCCTCCCAAAGCGAACAGTACATAAGAGAACGGTCAAGCACGAGGCCTAAGTCGTTACAATTTTCCTCTCATGTCACTTATTCTTGGAAAGTTCAATCATGAATGTTATCTATTATATTGTGATGTGTATGACATGTATTGTACATCAATAAAAATCTCAATTGGAGGGAATTTATTTTACGTACAGTTACATCTAGGCCCTGTTTGAGCCACCTTTTTGTAGAATGAGAATGAAAAATATAACCGTTATTGGAGCCCACACAAGAGATAGAAAATTTGAATTTAAATGTTGATGTGATGGATAACGGTCATATTTTTCATTTTAATGAGACAAAAAGGTGGCCCAAACGGGGGCCTAATTAATGTTGACCTCAGTTTAAGGAACTAAGCTGCTAAAATTACTTGAATGATCAGAAATATAGCACATCAGTGTCATTTTCTAATTTCTCAGTAGTTTGAAATTGAAATGACCATACTTTAGTTGTTTATAAAGTCGACTGACTTTAACCAGGAATCCTGAATGGTCAAAAGTAAGTTCTAAATGTCTCGGATCTTCTAATATTTCACGTGTGCAATGTTCTTGTTAAGTTAAAAGGAGAGACAGCATAAACTAATTAGATAGCAGAGAATTTCAACATGTGCACAGACCCTTCAAAATACAAAGTTTCCTATATTTTTCAATGCTGTTACCGCTGCATTTATATGTTTCCTTTTTTAGCAAGATGACTCTGAACTGATAAAAGTTCAAAAAGCACTACCATTAACATTGTAGGATCAGGATTTGTAATGACCCGATAACTATGATTTTCACTCAAACCTTACTTTATTCAAGACTTAAATCTTTCTTTCCCCAGTAAATATACCATGAATCTAAACAAGTACTTACCTAATTTTCAACAACATACAAGAAAACTTAAATACCAGCTCCAGCTGTCCAAAAGATCATGACTGTTAGATATTATTTTAATTTCCCTTTCTTTATTCAGGACAGTTTAGTTTAGTCTTTCCATTATTTACGGTTTCATAGTTAGGATTTTGCACTTTATATCTTCTCATCTTTGTAGCCACTTGCATTGATTGAATAATCATTCTTAGAAACACTATCTTTTATTAAGTAACTTTAATAGTGCAACATTTTTTCAAAACTGACAAGGTGGTCTTTGTAAAACCAGAGAAAGTGGAAGAAATAAAAAGAACTATGGAAAAGCCTGATTTTACCTAATCCATGGTTCACAAGATGAAAACCAGTATGTGATTTAGTAATTAGGGCGACACAGTAAATGTAATTTAGATGGGAGATCCACAGCACCCAACTACTTTCAACAATTACCATATCAAGTAATAATAATGGAACAGCAGCATCCAATACAAGAGAAAAAGTTTTAAACGTATTCGTTCAAAAAGAATAAACTCATACCTTAGCAGTATTCTCATCAGTCCACTGTATCCCAAGAATGCTTGAAAAACAGAACCAATAATTACAGCTCCCTGTAGCTCTTTCATTATATGCTTGAAATTCTGCAGCGTGAAACTGAATATTAGAAACTACATTGCAAAAACAACTTATGGTGAAAACAGTTAAATTTCGACATACAAGAGTGAAGTTGAGTAGAAATTGTTTCAGTTCTTGACAGTGTTGAGTTAATGTCCTTCTGTAAATAGAACTACTTCATACAACAAAGCAAAGTGCTCACTTCGTTTTTTTTAAGAAAGAGTCGCTAGGCAACCCCACATTCATTCTGGACTTTTGGCTATAATTAGAATACGTGGAGTTTGTGTTGTTATCATTTGGGAGCATGACATTAAAACTCAAATTCCTGGGTAACAGTTATGCATTATAAATAGCCTTTCAGCTTTGCTTAAAAGCATTGTTAGAATTTGAGTGCAACCTGAATGCTTTGTTGAAAATAATTGTGAGTTATAATTAAAGTGCACATTAAGAAAAATTCTATTTGGAATGCTATTGTTGAATCCCATTCAAATTGGCTTGGCGAATTCTGAGCCCATTGGGAGTAGGAACTTGTGTTGGACTTGAAGAGCACTTTGGAATGAAGAAAAACATCTATGGAAGGTGATTGGGTTGGAGACGAGGTGCCTGGGCGCCGGCACTATACATTAAAACAGCGAAGCCGGTGCCTAGGTGCCTGAAGAATGACGTCATGGCACCAGTAATGTTGTTTGTCTCATTTTCCATTTTGAATTCCGTTTTTAGGATTCTACTTTAACTACAACTTTACTATGAGAGTTTGGAAGTCCCCTATTTGTTCTCTATATATTGTTGGCTCTTCATTATGATTTAGTTAGAAGTTAGAAATATTGAAAACACATAATCTTTGTATTTTTTCTCTATATTATAATAAAATCTCCATTCTCTGCAAATTATATTGTTCTTGTATTCTTGTAATCAATTAATTCATATTGTGGCTATATAATCTCTTATTTTTCACAATAAACTGGTATCAGAGCGATTTTGGTATATTGTTTGTTTCCAACAAGCATAGAGGTTTGAGTTCAAATATTCTTTCTGGTACTCATACCCACCACTATTCAATTCAGACATAGCCCATCATTCTGTTTCCTTCTGATTCTTTTCCACATGTAACCAGAAAACAACATGCTGAACCTAACAAATCACTGAAGTTGAGATACTTACATTTCCATTCAGTTGCAAAAATTCGGGTGAGTTAATTATAGCAAGTGCTGGAGCAAGATAAACAAAAGAAGGGCCCTGTATCAAGGGCAATCTCGATCCAAACGATGTGTGCAAAACTGTTGTAACTCCCGACATAAATAGCGCGGTGGAAATGACATTTGCTGTATCCTCCTACGCCCACTGACTTCCATTAGTCAATTCATCCAAATTACAAAATCAACACAAGAAATGAAAGCTTTATGCAATTAACTCACATAAGTGCCACCCATTGCAGGAACTATAACCAGCGGAATTAGTATCAACGAACCCAACATTGACAGGTAATGCTGAAATCCATACAGACCAACCGGAACTGAAATATAAAAACCAAAAGATTGCAATTATGATTTCATACCCTTCAAATTTTGATACAGACAAAAGTCTTCTCTATGAATATATAATCCTCAATATTGCACAAGCATCAAATATCGCCATGACCATCCCACACAAACATAAGTAGATTTAGCCAATTTCAACAAATCTATAGAAAATTATTAATCAAAAAAGCATTTTGATTTCTACTGATTTTGCCATTAACAACTAAACAAAACAAGCCATGTTGCACACAAGAAACTATAAGCTTTTGAAGATCAACAAAACTATATAAACCAAACATTAAAAATTGAGAACTTTTTAGTGTAAGAATATGTCAGCAGCAAATTAGCACTTGATGATTCATTAGAGCGCATGAGCTTAGAGTTCAAAACAACCAAAAATATTAATATTCACCTCTTTCGATAGTTAACTTGATAAGTATAATTAAAATATAAAGCTCACCGAGACCAGGAGTATCTCTAAGCTCATACTTCATATTTGTATGCCTCGACACGAACCCATCATCATCTCCCACAGTCCTCCGCTGCAGCACATCCAGTACATCCCCATCCTGGTTCCTCACTGGCCTCCGGCTCCCCTCCTCAGCTATAGGAGCCATTGCCGGCTGCACATTCTCTCTGGAATTCTTGTCTCCATTTGAGTCCCTCCGCTTCTTCACTGGCGGCTTCAGCTCCTTTTTCCTCTCCTCTTTCTCCTTACTCGCAGGAGGCTTCCCAATGGCGGGCTCCCCATTGGATGACGTACCGAGCGTCGGGCGGCCCGCTTCAAGGTCAGGTGTCGTGTCAACTTCCCTGGACTTGGGTGGGAGTGGGAGTGGGTGTGGGGGTTGGGACGTAATTTGGCCCGAGTTACTGTCATTGGCCTCTCCGGAGAATTTGGGGTGGAATCCGGTGCGCTTGGCCCAGGAAGACGGTGGCATTGCAGCCATCTCCGTTGCGGGTGTCCATGGGCCGGGTCGAGTCGGCCGCTTACGCGGGTCGGAGCTTGCCATTCTTAGTAGCACACTACAAATGCAAAGCTGCAACTATAGAATCAAACATATACGAATGTATCAAGTAACAAAAATATATATGGAATATGTAGAGATCTGAATTGATTGCTAGGGTTTAGAGTTCAGGAGAGAACGAAACGAAAGATTGAAGGTTGAATGTGTGGAAAATGTGAGAGAGAGTAATGAGAGGAGATGTGTGAACTGTGTGTATGCGTGACAGGGAGAATGGGTGGGGTTGGACTGCGGTCTCTGGCGTGGAGTGCGGAGTCGGGAACCGCGTTTAACGGTCTGTTTTTGTAATAAGATGATGTCATAATTGATCTTAAAATCTTATTTTTTTTATTTATGGGATTTTAGTAAATATTTATATTTTATTCATCTACAAAATTAGATATATTAAAATAATTTTTAGTAATTACCGACCAAAAATCTGAATAAAAAATTTCTGTCAATAAAATTATCTAGAATGAAGCTTGACCTATACGAAGCATTTGTTAAGGGATATAATCCCACATCGAATAAAGATGTTGACACAAACCAATTAATAAAGATTATGGACTACTCCTCTTAACAAGGTTGACCTTGTATATAGAATGTACTGTGTAATGATTTTTTAATTGTGTATATAGAATGTACCGTGTAATGATTTTT